AAGACTTCTAGTACCAACCTTAGAAAGAAGAGTCATCACTATGACCTCACAGACACTAAAAGAAAAATAACATTATGAATGTCTATTCCCACAAATTTGATAACTTAGATGAATTTTGTTAATCCCTTTAAAGACACAACTATGAAAATGTATACAATCAAAATCAATAGTTTGAGTAGGCCAATATCAATTCTAGTAATTGAATCAATATTAATGACCTCCCCCAAAGAAAGCAACAAGGCTTAATTGTCATGGGTGAATTTTACTGAGTGTTTAAAGAAGAAATAATGCCAAATTCTGTGTGATCCTTTCCAGGAAAAGAAACAAACAAACAAACAAACAAACAAAAAAGCAGAGGGTCACTTTCTAATGCCTTTTACGGGGTATGCATTACTCTATTACCAAAACTGTATGAAGCCATTACAATAAAGAAAATAACAGATCAATATCTGTAAAGAACATGGATAAAAAATTCTCCACAAAATATTAGCAAATTGAATTCAACAATCCATAAAAAGATTTATACAATATATAGAGTGTCAAGAAAGAATAAATAAGGAGGATTTATTTATTCAAGGCTCATTCAACATTCAAAAACTCATCAGTAAGATCAACTATGTCAAAAAACTAAAAGAGGAAAACTATTGGATCATACTGACTGGTAAAGAAAAGGAAAAAAAAAAAATCCAAAATTCGGGATCTAGACTTTCTGCATGACAACATGAGATATTCTGCAGATATGCTCCGAGTGAGACTGTTGGAAAGTATTTTAGAAAACAACCACTTGTGATCTCTACCAATGGTCCAAAGGCCATGCAGCAAATGCAGAAACATTTATTCAAGAAAAGTTCCTAAAACTCTCTAGGAACGGGAAGAGTCTATGCCATCTAGATCAAGATACACTCCCTCCCCCGACGCCACTTCCAGCCCAAATATGACAGAAACTCCACTGCAAATGGATATAGCCTAGAACACAGAACTTCTCCCCTGATCTCTAGGGCAGAAGGCTGCCATATCTTCCCAGGAGGCGCAGGACGACAGCAATTGTCATTTTGTCCCAGTCATTTCTTGCAGAGCCTAAATTCCAGGTGAGCGGAGCTGAGAGCTAAGGTCTCCCTTTTCTGCCCTCCTCCCGCTCATTGGATGCAGGCTCCCCTTTGAAGGCAGCACAAGTTTATTTGTAAAGCAGAGGCTCTGGGAGAGTCACTCTCTGCACTGGGAGGGGTAAGAACGGAGCTTACAGAATCCCGAGCACCCACTGTGCTGAGTACCTGGCTCATGCAGCGTGGGTTTCGATCAGAGACAAGCACGCCACTGTCCCTACCACGGGTTCTAGAGCTGTGACTCCAAGATTTGGCCCCGGAGCAGGGGGGCGGTGGGGGGGGAGAGCAGGCCAAAGATTTTTCCAGAAGAACTGATTTCATTTGCAAGACTGCAAACTCAAGCCTAAGATGACATCAAAAACACTAGAGGTTGTAGCGAAAAGCAATTTAGGAAGAAATCAGTAGCTATCTTAGAGATATAAGGTAAACCCAAAACTAGCCAGTTTAGCACAGAGAATCAAAGAGAAGCTGACGGAGAAGAACTGTCCCGAGGTCAGAACAAATCTTAAACACTGGCCTCAAAAACTGAGCTCTGATTTAGTTGGTTCATTGCATGGAACAGAATACGCCAGGGCATTCCTGAAAACAATAGAGTAATAAGCCTGCGAAACGGATGGAGCTTAATCGTTGTGTGTGTTCAGGAAAACAGAGAAGCAAAGAAACTCCTACAAATGCCACCGTCATCTCAGGTTAACTGTGTGCAGTCCCAACGCTGCACCCTCCAAGAAGCAGCATCAGGGGCTCCACAAGGCGGGGAGGAACCAGACTTTATTAAAGCATGCAATCCAGTGACTGAACCAGCCAATGATTAACAACGACCAGTCTTGGAAGGTGG